TGCTGCGTCCAATTGCAGCCGCATCGCAAGGCACCGTACAAAACCTAAGACTTGCGTGTCATGGCCAACTACCCAGACACAGAGAGATAGACACAGGTTTCCCTCGCTTTGTGCGGGTTCGGTTTGGTCAAAATTTTGTGTCCAGGCGGCTAATCTATTTCGACCTAAAAATTCGCTGTATGCAGTTTAAGTTCACTCATATGTAGCCATGCGGTCAGATGTGGGACAACACTGTGTGTACTGTGTGTGTGTACTGTGTGTATGTACTGTGTGTATATTGTGTGTGTGTAGTGTGTGTGTATATTGTGTGTGTGTACTGTGTGCGTGTATATATTGTGTGTAGTGTGTGTGTATATTGTGTGTGTGTACTGTGTGTGTATATTGTGTGTGTACTGTGTGTGTATATTGTGTGTGTACTGTGTGTGTATATTGTGTGTGTGTACTGTGTGTATATATTGTGTGTAGTGTGTGTATATATTGTGTGTGTGTACTGTGTGTGTATATTGTGTGTGTGTACTGTGTGTGTATATTGTGTGTGTGTATATATTGTTTGTGTATATTGTGTGTGTGTACTGTGTGTATATTGTGTGTGTGTACTGTGTGTGTGTATATATTGTGTGTATAGTGTGTGTGTATATTGTGTGTGTGTGTACTGTGTGTGTGTATATTGTGTGTGTGTACTGTGTGTGTGTATATATATTGTGTGTGTGTACTGTGTGTATATTGTGTGTGTGTATATTGTGTGTGTGTAGTGTGTGTGTGTAGTGTGTGTGTGTATATATATTGTGTGTGTACTGTGTGTGTATATTGTGTGTGTGTAGTGTGTGTATATTGTGTGTATGTGTACTGTGTGTGTATATTGTGTGTGTGTACTGTGTGTGTGTATATATTGTGTGTGTGGTACTGTGTGTGTATATTGTGTGTGTGTGTAGTGTGTGTATATATTGTGTGTGTGTACTGTGTGTGTGTATATTGTGTGTGTGTAGTGTGTGTGTATATTGTGTGTGTGTACTGTGTGTGTGTAGAGTGTGTGTATTGTGTGTGTACTGTGTGTGTGTATATATTGTGTGTGTGTACTGTGTGTGTATATTGTGTGTGTGTATATCTATTGTGTGTGTGTAGTGTGTGTGTATATATATTTTGTGTGTGTAGTGTGTGTGTATATTGTGTGTGTGTACTGTGTGTGTTTATATTGTGTGTGTGTAGTGTGTGTATATTGTGTGTGTACTGTGTGTATATTGTGTGTGTGTACTGTGTGTGTATATATATTGTGTGTGTGTACTGTGTGTATATTGTGTGTGTGTACTGTGTGTGTATATTGTGTGTGTGTAGTGTGTGTGTATATATATTGTGTGTGTGTACTGTGTGTATATTGTGTGTGTGTATACTGTGTGTATATTGTGTGTGTACTGTGTGTGTGTATATTGTGTGTGTGTACTGTGTGTGTGTATATATTGTGTGTACTGTGTGTGTGTATATATTGTGTGTGCACTGTGTGTGTGTATATTGCGTGTGTGTAGTGTGTGTGTATATTGTGTGTGTATATTGTGTGTGTGTGTGTACTGTGTGTGTGTATATATTGTGTGTGTGTAGTGTGTGTGTGTATATTGTGTGTGTATTGTGTGTATATTGTGTGTGTACTGTGTATATATTGTGTGTAGTGTGTGTGTATATATTGTGTGTGTGTACTGTGTGTGTGTATATTGTGTGTGTGTAGTGTGTGTATATTGTGTGTGTACTGTGTGTGTGCGGTGTGTGTATTGTGTGTGTGTAGTGTGTGTATATGTTGTGTGTGTGTAGTGTGTGTATATATTGTGTGTGTGTATAGTGTGTGTGTGTCCTGTGTGTGTGTACTGTGTGTGTGTATATTGTGTGTAGTGTATGTGTGTAGTGTGTGCATGTACTGTGTGTGTGTATATTGTGTGTGTGTAGTGTGTGTGTGTATAGTGTGTGTGTATTGTGTGTGTATATTGTGTGTGTGTAGTGTGTGTATATTGTGTGTGTACTGTGTGTGTATGTTGTGTGTGTGTAGTGTATGTGTGTAGTGTGTGTGTGTATAGTGTGTGTGTGTACTGTGTGTGTGTATATTGTGTGTGTGTAGTGTGTGTGCTGTGTGTGTGCTGTGTGTGTGCTTTGTGTGCTACTCGGCAGGCAGCTGTCTCCTTGTGCGGTTTCGCTTTGTGCGTCCCTCTTTTTGGAACGCATCTACTACCACCGCATAGAGCGAGGGAAACTTGTAAATGCATTTATATATACTCATATTATAAGGATTAATAGTTTGTATATATCTTTTCACTACATTCTGGCACGTTGCATTATGAATAGGGTGCCTTAATTGGGGAATTGTAATTCACCCTTCACTCGCTTTTTTGTACCCCTGCCCACAGCTGAGACCAGAATCCAGGTCACTCTTCCAAATGAGACGACTGTATCCTGTGGCCTCTTGAGTTCTCACTTGGTTAAACAGAATGAACTTGAGACCAGAGGTGTAAATGGGACACCCAATGTGCTACATGCCACGGTCTCTGAGATCCCTGGCAATGTCAAATAATCCATCTGCCAATCCCCGCAAATCACCGCGAGAACTGGCACAAGCCCACGCAATCAGCGGAGCGCCGGGGTGAGCAACGGGCAGGACGCACGAGTGCGCAGGACACGCGCACCTGTGTAGCCTTCGACTCGGTCGGCAGGCGCAAAGGACGCGCGGCGGACAAACGGCACCGCGAGCGAAGTGCGGGGCGCAAGCAGCGGAGGGGCGCGGGGCAGACGCGCCGGCCTCCCGGCGTCCCCACAGCGGCCGTTGCTCTCGCCGTCGGCAGTAGGCGGCCACGCGTTCACCGATCCAGACGCGCGCGCTACGATTGGGTGCCGCCGCGGTCCCGTTGCACTTTGAGATAAGGGAAGAAAATGAGCTGTAACCACGTGTGAGAACTGGGATGGCACAAGGTTTAAAACGGGTTGTACTGCTTTCGAAATGCAGTTATTTTAAAATCTCTTTTCTTCCAGGAAATGGCAGTGATTTATAATCAAGGTTTTTGTGCAAAGATTGCATCTGGAGATTGGCTTATTTGGCCAAAAGTGCTGAATTTAGCAGTGGCAGAAGCGTGGTTAGCGATAAAAATCTGACCATGTTTGCAAACATTGAAAGGTGAGTCAGTACCCATACAGGATGAAATAAGCTCATAACAACAACATCCACTATGGGCAAAGTCCTACTTAACCGAGAGATGAATCCAGCTCCCAAGACTACATGGAGTGCAAAATGAATGATAAGCTTTGTGGTAAGCCATTTTATTGCACAAATATGAACACAATTGTTGACCCATGGCTATGTCAAAGGAGGTCATGTTGTTTTACATCAATGTAATGCTTTGTTGTTATTTTTCCACCATTGCTGAAATATAATAGCTTCCTAAAGCACTCACATATTAGAGAAGATTATCATTTTAACCACGAGTTGTTGATAGGAAACTGCAGCGTGACGGCCTCGTTAGTAATTTCCGTAAACTGCAGGCGATGGTGTCTGCCGGATGAGTCATTGTCGCACAGAGCGAATCAGTTCTCTACGAGCCAATCAAACCGCACGGTAGGAAGAACAACAGTGTATACAGCTTCATCCAAAACATTGACACAAGATTTAATTTACTGAATGCCCCCTACGCCTTTCCCCATGGCTTAGCACCTTCTCAGCAGCACGTGCTCTCGCGTAATTATATCCAACGCAACGTCGGTGATCACTTCGACAGCGCACGCCTATCAGCCCAGATCTTACAGGAATGCCAGGAGCTGATCTAATTTAATCCTTTTTAATTCTGTTCCGCAAGGGTTCACATCATGCAAGGGAAAGAAAGTCAGCAGCGCATGACTTGGGATCACGCGCAAAATACGCTTACATCAGATTGAGACAATGGCCTAACTAGGCCAAAGTGAATGCCTCACGCACACAGCACCTTGTTTGTAACATGAAAACCATACCCATTGCATCAACCGTATCGAACGCCATCACCGACGCTCACAAAGAGAAATGCTCGTTGAAGGGGAGAACAAATAACAACAGCAAAAGGAAAAATGCGTTCATGTCGCGAAGAGACCCGTTCACGACTGCATTTATGAAAATAACAAAACGTGACATTTCTGAGTAAATTACCACAGGCACAAGGATTCTGGAAGGTATGGGATTAATTGCCAAGAAGACTTTAAACAGTCTCGAGGGAGTCGAGACTTTAAAGAAAAGCACGTAGCAAGAGGATAGAACGAATAAACAATAAATAATAATGAAACTGATAAAGACAGAAAGCTGACTGGTGTGCGGTATCTCAAGATAATCCTAAGGACAGCTCCTCAGCTGGGTTTGTGACCATGACGTCGGATGCATTGACAAATGGAAGGGTGGCGCATAAATAAAGAGCGGGGGTTCACAGGGTCAATTACTTTTATCTACAGCATCGTCTCCCAGGCCCGCTCCGTGCACTCTGCATCTGATTTACGCCGCGACCTCACTTTTAAATCAACGCGCCCCCTGCTCTTGTCGGTCCCCACGTCGAGCCCTAATGACTCACACAGCGGTGCAAGAATCCGGCAACGGCCGCTGCGACGATCGTCGCAGCGGCCGTTGCCGGATTCTTGCGACCGTTCAAGTTTGCAGCCGCGTGCGTGGTGGAAACCCTCGCCACCCTCATGGACATCGGGGGAGCCGGGGCCGTGGGGTCAGTGGGTTTTACAGGGGAGCGTTAACTTCGACAAGATGCCGGTTTATTGGGAAAACGTCGCAAAAGTAAAAAGTAATAACGCAACGGCTGCACTTACCCACACCCCAATGATAAGGGAATGTCCCACAGCGACGACGTCAAAAAACTTGACAAGTGGATCTCGGTAGACGTGGCCAGGAAAAACGACATGCTCGTTGCGCGCGCATCAAACGCGCGCGCACGTTGACCCCGGTGCCGGCGTTCCCGAGGACCACGAGAGCCGAGCAACGGGGCGAGGACGGCGCCGCTCACCTGCCCTCGGCGATCGCTCCGAGCAGCAGCGCGTAGTTGACGGCGCCGTCGCGACCCCGCACCACGGAGCGCAGGTTCTCCTCCAGGTTCCTGCGGTTGTCCTGCACCTGATGCAGCGTCCGCCCGGCCTCCTCCAGCAGGGCGGCCTCGGCTCGGGAGGCATCCGTCCGCGGCGGTCGGGCCGGGCAAGCGTCGAGCGGCGCGGGGGCCGCGACCGGGGCCGGGGCGGCGGTGGCAGACGGACGGGAGGGCCGCAGCGCCGGCCCAGCGACCCTCACCGGGGGTTGCGCCGGGATGCACGGAGCCGAGGGCAGCGGCTGTCCGGGGACAAAACGCACGCGCGCGCGCGTACATACATATGCACACGTACGTACACAAGGATTAACCGACACGGAAGATTGACAGCATACAAGTAGCAAATTAGTGTCGTGCATTATTTATGGGTTTACTGTGCAAAGGTTTATAAAAAAAACAAGTGTCATCTCAACATTAGCGACCTTGTAATTTTTTTGTCATGATGCTTGTTTTTTAAATTATTTTTAACCTCTTTTGGCCAATGGCATCGTGCCACACTTGACATCGACATTGTAAATTCTTAAAGCATAAAAAAACCCCACACAATAATATTTTTCCTTGGGATTAACGTATAATTTACCCATCATCCCCAGCTTCCCACACTGCCTCAGCTGCCACGGCGACCGCTATGCGTCAACCTCTCAACGACCTTTCACCTCCCCCCGCACCCGGCACCACCCACTCCACTCCACATCACCCGAACGCCCGTGGGACCCCGCTGTCACGCCATCCCACACGCACGACACAGCTGCAGACGGAGCTGCAAAAGCCTCTCTCTCCCTCCACCTCCTCCGAGCAACAACCTTAGCCGCCTTAAGAGGCGCCCGCGCGATTATTGTTCCCATCTCCACTCCGTTTTTGGCAAAAGCTCGAGGCCACATATCAGTCGACGTTTGCTCCATCACTGAAAGGCAATCACGCGCGAAGGGGGTGCTTGGTGGCACCGCAAGTGAATTGTTGTCATGCAGAATGTACAGCTTTTATGCGGCTGCAATTCGATCGCTGTGATACAACAGAGCACAACAAAACACGCATAGCATTCTCTTTGGTTCTATTGGGTAAAGTCACGTAGGTAAAAAATAAAATAACAAAAATCACTATATTTGTTATTTTATTTTTTACTTACGTGACTTTACCCAATAGAACCAAAGAGTATGGATCCTAGCAGTCACGAAAGCTTTAAATCTAGAAACGCATAGCATTATTAACTTCTTATGCTGTTAACTCCATGTGTGACTCATTTCTCAAGTGGCTGTGCTCTAAATACTGTAAAGCCTCACCTCTCTACCCCACCCTCTACCAGCACCACTACCTCCATGGCAACGTTGCCCTTTGAGAGAGAGAGAGAGAGCATTCCTTGTGATGACCACATTCAATCAATCGCTCGGCTGATGCACCCTTGAAAGCTTTCCAGCGGAGGGCATGTTTTTTTTATTCACGTACACATACCTACGTGCGTGTACGTGTGCATACAGATATATACACGGTGTATATGTGTAACAGACATTATATCCATCCATGGCAAGCTCGTCGGATGGAAACCATTACGCAGTAATTCTCGGCCTCCCGAGTGCAGACGCACTAATGCCAAATCCCCGAGATTAGCGCACGGTTTGGATTAAAATCTGTTTACAGCACTGGAGCACTGGTCACGTGTCCACTTCGTGCAATGGCCTGATTAGAGCCACGCTTGTCACGAAATGCCTGCAGGAGGCAAAGGGAGGGCCGAGCGGTGCACGGGGGACATCGGCGGAGGGGACGATGGGAGGGGAGGGAGAGGCCACGGTGGCGCAGCGGCTCCGTCCGTGCGACCAGAACCCCTCGACGTTCGCACAGAGCCGAGCCAACGGAGGAGCCACGACGCATTTGGCAAACACGGGCCGATTCCGACCGCGCGGGTCGGCAATGACGCCGAACCAAAAGGGTTTCTGCTACTCTCAACAGATGAGAGGCAACAAAATAATCCTTCGCAGGACAGGAACATATATGTGTGAAAAATAGCAGATCGTATTTCTCATTTAAATTATAACATTTGCATCCGTGACGCATTGACACGAGTAACCGGAGGTGTAAATGCAATTCTTGTGACAATGCGTCATTTTTTTTTGCACCCAAAGCATTTTTTAAAGGCTTTCTACCGAGTACCCTAGCTAAAAATAAAATAAAACTCCTGCATGTGTTTGCCAATATGCTATTACACAAACCGAGCGCAATTTTGTAATGTAGTACTGGGACAACGCACGGCTAAGGGGTTAAGAGAGGTGACGTGTGATTATTTACAGAGGCAGCCTTCCCCAAGCACTCCCTTCATCTCCCACCTTCACCACCGCAGCGCGGCATCACCCCCCCCCCAACCTCGCTCCGCTGAACCCCTCTGAATGCCAACCGCTCGCCCCCCCCCCCCACGTCCTGCGTTGTACAGTTGGCGCGAACGTCTCCCGCCCCCACCAACAAAAATTAAAAAAACATGCGCGTGAATAAACCTCACGTCCATCAAAGGCGTGCGGCGTCGGCAAACACAATCAAGCTGCCGCTCCGTTGCTGTGACCACGGGGCAAAAAGCGAGCGCTGTTTTCGTTTGCAACTGTGCCTCGCCATCTGTCGCTGCGCGGGCTCGGTCAGTGGCCCATTTTAGCGCCATCCCAAATGCATCGCACGCTAAAAACAAACTGCCCAGCCAGGCGTCTCCCCCCCCCTTACTCCCAAACCCACCGCGGCTGCTGTTCCACTCACGCCATCTCCAGCAAGACCACGAGCCATTCCAATTTCAACCACGGCCAAGTTCCCAGCCCGGTTGACTGCACAGCAGGCCAACTAGGTGCACTGGGCCAATGGTAGCCAGGGCCAGTGCAATGCTGGCCAACCCCGCCGACTCTGGGCAGAACGTCGCTTGACTATCTGGGAGCGGCCGAGGGAGCCGACATAATTTATCCGCCTCCTGCAACTGCTCGGCAAAATGGGTCTGGAAGCGCGTTCCAATTTTGCAAGCGAACAATCACTGCTTTCATTCCCACTTATTAAAAATGATGAGCAAATAACCCATCAAAGGCTTTAAGTACACGGCAGACCAACCTATTGCCATTGTTTTCAAAAAACATTTTCCGTAATATTGTATAATGCGCAATAAGTTGGTCCTCACCATGAAAAAATGTAATCTCTACCACTGGCAAACATCCACCAATGGAGATAAGCACCACCCATGACCCCGCTTGAGTTTGGCAGCCCACATTCCCTTGAACCTCTTTTGTGCCACAGTCCAACCCTCGAAGTGCTGCTGACTGGCCACGCCGGATGACACCCATCAGCGGGCCTCGGCGCTATTACCACGACGTGCTTCTCAAGCACTTTCTAAAGACACTTTCAAAACTGCGCACAGTTGTGTTTTTTTACTGGAGTTTGTTTACCGTGCATTATGCTCTCATTTTAGGCATCAGCAAATCGCACAAGCATTACGACAGCCATCCCACTCCCCGTCGGACACAGCACCACGCCAGCCAAACACGCCCATCAGGCCCGCCGCAGCGCTGCGACCGCGTGTCACTCATTAGAGGGGGCTTGGCGAGAGATGCCCGCTTCGGCTTGGCAACAGCAGGCAAGCGCCGCGAGGGCGGCTCGCGGACGACCCCTCTGACCTTGTCCGGCTGCGGCATTTATCGCGCCGTGCCATCTCGGCGGTGGTGCCAGGGGAGCGGCCCGCCGGTCAGTGTGGCGCGTCACAAATTCTTAGGGCTCCATTGCGCGGCGCCCGCACTCCCCTACAGTCACGCGTCTAGTGGGAAATGGTGAATGGGTTCCAACGGGGGACGTAGTGTCCGGCAAAACTGCCTCCTGCCTCCACGGCACACCAAAGTAACTATTTTACCAGGTAAGGCCCACTATTCAGCTATATAGCTCTTTTTAAGACAAGACCTGGCCACAAATGATAGCTCAACGAAGTGGCTTTACATGTGGAAATTAATAGCCGCCAAATACTCTGAACGTCTGTTGATTTTAAATGTCGAGGGACAAACTGGAGGACCCGGAGAAAAATCCACGCGACCACGGGGAGAACATGCAAACTCCACATCAGGGTTGGGATCGAACCAACGACCTCCTGTATACCAGGCAAGGTAGTTAACATCGCCACAACCATCAATTCCATGGCGATATGCCGCATGGTCTTAAACTTAAAGGATGGCCGATAACGAGAAGATGCTCTTTAAGTGTGATGTGGGTTAACACCAGGGACCAGAAGCAGGTGTTTTATTTATTCATATGAACCAAGGCTTCGCGTGCAATCAAGTATGTCTTAAAGAGGCTCTAACCCAGTTAAAATAAAAAGGTGATTAATGATACCCATGAAAATACGTAACACACACACATCGAATATATGCGGCCATAGTGAGCGACAGCGAATGCGTTGACTGATGTAAATCCTCAAAATGTTGCAGAAGGACTAGAAATCAGAATTTCGCCACAAATATAGTCAAGACTACGATTAGACCAATAACGCATTATTGAAAATTTAATTTTCGAATTTGGACTGCCAATGTTGGCAGGCAAAACTGTTGACCTTTATAATGTTTAAGCTCGGTCTACAAAGATAAATATTTATTTTCTACCTCCAATTTTCAGGTATTTTTTGGAATAATTATGCTAAAGCTGTGACAGCTACCACGTAAAGCCAGTTACCACTTCTGCTCCCACATAGTGGGTGAAGACAACAAACATGAACGTCGATACGGAGCTATCATTTAATTCGATGAATCGGTCTACAAACGTATGCACACTGAGATGCGAATACAGGATACGGCAGACAGATCTGAAGCGAGGTACTTAGTGCGTTGTGTACAATCATAGCCTCCTTCCTTTTGTCTTTCGGTCTTAAAAAAAAAAATCTAGGTCAAACCCCTGTAGCCACCCCACGCAAAGCCCTGTCTGTCATCCCCGCTGCAGTGATGTCAACATCTGTGCTTTAAACAAGAACTGAACATCTGGATTTGTAACCAAAGTACTGCCGCAGGGAAATCTGTAAAAAAATATATAAACCATTTCACACTGACCTAACACCTTTGTCCCGTTAAAACCTTATACAACGAACCCCACCATGCAGCTTTCAGCATATAAAACATTTAGAATTCTCAGAACACCAGCCCAACCCCCTCTTACGTCTCACTGCCCATCCTCCTTCCTCCTCTAAAACCTAATTCCCTTGTTCTGTAACCTATGGCGGTCTGCCTATCGCATGACAAGGGGGGCACACAGAGCATTCGCTAAGTGCCCCCATTCTCTGTGCCACTGCAGTCGATCGGCAGCATCGTGGCCGAGATGGGATCTCACTGGGCGGGGCACTCTTCATCCTGCTCAGTCAGCGTGCCGCTTCTCGTTGTATTCCCCGCTCCTGCCAGGCCGCCCGCAGCCAGGCCCGCTCTTTCATGCCGCTGTCAGGTTTGGACAATGATTTTTTTTGGTTCTGCCCTAAATACCTAACGCGGTATACCGGTAGTTTGTGCGCTGCCCTATGAAACCCCAGTGACCTGAATTCGATTCCTGGCCACGCCTAACATCAGCGGCGAGTGATATCTGTCCCGATCCTTGCCAACCCGCCCTGACCAGTGCGGTAAAGTAAGGTCAAACAACCCCCATGACTAACACAGCATGAGCGAGGTGCAACCATACAGCAGAGGATTTCTGAAAGTGACCTAAATTGCGTCGTAAAAATCCAACTTACAAGGTTATAAAATCATCAAACGCTGCCCAGAGTACAGATGGACATGTCACAGCGACGCGCCTAACTGCCACAAGAACGGTCACGTTGTAATGCTCAAAGTCCACTAAACGTCATTTTGTTCCGCGACGTATGAAGATTGAAAGAACTGTGTAACTCAATGTAAAAATAAATGTAAAACTAAAAGAACCACCCCCCCACACCCCCACCATGTGACAATCATGCGACAGCCGATTGAGGTTAAATCATGCGCTGCCTTGCGGAGCTGCCCGAGAAATTCGTTTGGCCACGGGAGTGGCTCTGGGAGAGTTCAGGGGGGTCAACCCACGTTTGAAATGTGTTTTTTCGAATGTTATTTATTTATTTTCCCAACCCGCATAAGGATTGGTCATGGGAGGTGGATTTGGCCGACTCTCCGGGCAGGCAGAGGCGAGTGTCGCTGTGCAACGAGCGGTTTCTGCGAGGATAAAAGCCCCACTTTAGTCACGGTGTGACGGGCAAGCCCCAGCAGAACATGATTCAACTGGCAGCGCAAACACCAAAAAAACACACACACACATGCGCCCGCTCAGAGCAAACTGTTTTTAAAAGCTCGAAAACAGATGCCGGCTACAAAGTGAAAGTGGATGTCATTACAGCCATTATAACCATCCCTCTTAGCTGGCCTAACATGCCTCGAAAAAAAACTAGTCTGGCCACATTTGTTTTGAGATTAAAGGCAGATTGTCAATTGGATTAGCAAATGATTATAGCAGTTTAATTTTTCAAGGGAGCCGATAGGCAACTAACTGTGCTATTCCGGGAAATATTTACCTTTGTCCGACTCACTGTCCGAGAACACTTGGCATGTCTTTAGGGAAACTACAAAAACCCTTGAAGCAATCCCTTCCAAGGTTATCGCCAAGATCCGACAACATTTTCAGGAAGCATTGGCAACTCTTCCGCTAGCAGGCCAATGTCTATCCATTACTGGATGAAGGCCACCACTCCACATCTTCTCCGTCCACACAGAGTGATGCAACAATCCCACTCCTGCGCGTGAGCTGTACGTACGTTGAACTTATTTCGCACCGTACGTAGCCAAACCGTACTAACCAGAGCTAATTTGATTACTCATCTCCACGTTGGTCATACTCCCCCTTGCCACGTGTTATCCTTTGGCTACCATTCCATCGCCTTGAGGCTCAACTCTGGCGCTTTTATTTGTGAATTTCGTCAATCGTTTCCTGGTATTCATTTCCATTTTCTTTTTAAAATGAAACCTTTGCTGTCAATACATGTTTATTCACTGGAAAAAGTTTCAGTACAAAAAAAAAACGACTTGACGGTACGCCACTTACCGGTGGCGATTCGCAGCGAACGCCACTTGGGATGAGCGCCCGTGTATTTGTTGTGACCTTGCGCACCAAAAGGCACGCACCTTTTGGTGCGTCGTTCGGTGCCACGCAGTGCCCCTGAGTCGCCACTGTGGGCGCCGGCAGTGCTCGCTCGCACCGCGTGACATCATCCCCGTTTGGGGGTTCGGGATCTACCCCGAGCGTTCACTCACCTGCGGAGCATTAATCGCCTCCAGACAATTGGAGGATCGTGAGCCGCATCGGAAGTTACCGGGAATTCAGTTTGGGGTGTCCTCCGATTTGTTTGGATCGTATTGCATCCCGCTTTTTACGTTAACTTAAATGAATCGCAAAGCAATCCTCAAAATGTTCGCGTACACGATTGTAAAGTGTACGGCGTTACGATAAAGATAAACACTACAGCGATATAAAACAGACATGAAATAAGCATGAGAAACATTTTGATTTAAAGCTTTCGTGACTGCAGTAATTCATATTCTTAGCTATTTCGGTAAAGTCACGTTGTTTTATATATATTTTATTGTTCAACGTGACTTTACCGAAAGAGCTAAGAATATGAGAAACATTATAAAGTTAACTTTTCTCAAGTTAATAGTGAACAGTGCGCTGCACCTTGTTGAATCCGTTTAATATATGTGCATAAGTGGCTACTGTACGTGCATGGGAAGAATGTGCATGTGAAATTGAAACAAACAGAACTACTAAGAAAACAAACTGAGAAGAAACTAAATGGAGAAACACAAATTATTGATTATCGATTCGAATCTGGGCAACAATCATCGGGACAATTTAATCAAACGACATGCAGAGACTCTACAGTGGCTGCAGCAATCCCGACTTGGGGCTTGTGAATTGATTATTTTCATTACACTGCTGGATTGATGAAACCACGAGATCAGCCCATGTGCAACAGTGGGTATAGCATAGCGAAACATTGTTGGGAGGGGGTCCTACAGGTACTCCAGTTTCTCACGAAAAGTAAAAGACACTGCACAATAAAGTATCGCGTGATTCGTGTATCACAATATTCATGTGACACACCATTACCCAATCATTAACGTGCGATTGGAATCACCAAGGATATCATTTAAATACAAATCCAGATGGGTTGAACGGCATTGTGGATCGGATCAGATGTCTGGATACGAAGTGATATACAGCATCAAGTCAAAAACACCCCAACGCGCTGGTGACCTTTTTAGCTTTGAGCGTGCGCGCGCGAGTGAGTCCTTATGCTGCCACATGCACTCTGTGCGTTGCAGTATTTCTTTGCATGGCCAACTCCGCTTGGGACGATATTCGTGAGAATGCCCCACAATATAAAATCAAGAGTTTCCTGACATCCTAATTTCTTCGCACGTAAGGTTATTGCCCACGAGTCGTCCTCAAACAATGGAGGAGGCTCCCTTAATTAATGTATTTACCAGCTTTTACTTCTTGGCATGAATTATTTTTGGAAATAAAGTAAAAATCATGCATGCATTCCAAACTCTTTAAATCTTCCGAAGAAATACTCCCCTCGTGTTTGTATTTTCACGCTGGAGTAAATATCCACGCTGTACCCCTACGCGGTCACGTCAGCCCTCTCTACCCTTCTGAAGGCTCTCAAAAGAGTGTGCACATGCTCTGCCTTCCATGCCTGCCCACCACCACCAGTGACTCATCGGCAAGGAATGTTCTGTGAAGGAGGCTGCTGCCCACCTTTGCTGCCCTCTCCACGTTGGCCTGCCACCTCTCCGCCTCCTGAAACACAGCGGGGCAGGAGAGTTGAAAAAGAATTAAACAAAAGAATTACCCGGCGCGTCACAGACGGCCGCCAGCGCCAATCGAAAAGCAACACTCGAGGCCCCGCACCCGGTGCAGATTGCGTGCACTCTTCCGCACTCTGGCCGCCTGAAAAACCCAACAACCCTCATGAAGCCACGTAAAATTGCCCTCGGCCTTTAATGCGCTTTCTTTTTTGCATCAGCATCTGTTACGGGACCGAGTTGACATCCTGCCGTGAGCAAAAACGTGCTCAAGTGACCAATTTGCGATGGCTCTTTTGGTCAGGTTCAAAGCACTCTGGGTAAAACACGAAATGACACATGTGGGTGCACACGCGCAAATACCCACAAATATGTAAGGGCCGGACATGGAGGAGGCTGAGGAAGCTCGCTCGAGAGTGGAAGTGGGTGGGAAAAAAAATAATCTCGTGCAAAAGCATTATTTTTTATCCGCTAGTGTGAAACTTGAGATAAAGGAGACAAGATTTAAAACACCAGCTGAATTTAATAGTGTCAGCTACCGCACATTCCCCCCTCCCCCCTCCCAGAGGCCTCAAACCTAGGGACGCAACGAGTGGTATCGCTAGCGGAGGGAAGCGGATTCGCTCAGATGGAAGGAACATGACGAGTGAGTGTGTGGGAAATAACAAAACAAAAATTCAACCTCTGAACGCAAAAGAAAAACCGCTGTAAGAGACACTATCTACAAATCTATACTTAGACTGCAAGGAACGCATCTGATGTCAAGCGCTGTTATTTTGTCTACCAAACCGCCTTTTATTTTTTTCGCGAAACTTTACGTGCGGCAACAGGAATGCGTGAGAACCGTTCGTCGTGTTTCTCTTTGACAATACGGGGCCCCCGTTGCCTTTCAAACAAAGTTCAGTATCCCATGACGAAAAAAAAACCCGTAAGATTCCTGGCGAAGGCAACTGAGCATAGACGTGTTCTTGGCCACCGCGGCCGCCATGGCCGCAGAGCCCCACGTGACGGTGTTGTGGATACGAAGGCTTAGCGGAGAATGCGACAGTGGCGGGGCCGGCATTTTCAGCGTTTTTTTTAACTCGAGCGCGCAGGAAAAACACCGCATTGCAGAGCCATCTGCGAAGACGTGTTGTGACAGCTTTAAATAAAAAAAACTCACGCGCATATCGCAGGCGAAAGCGGCTGCGATATGCTCGGACTTAATTACGATGGTGGGGGGGGGGGAAGGGAGGAGAATCTCGTAGCGCAAGCTACGTGAAAAAACCAAAGAGTTACTACGTGAAACGGCATCACGAACAAAGTCAAACGAACGGCAGTAGGTTTAGCCCACGAAATATTTCCGATTCAATTGTAAGTCCGATTTCTTGGAAGTGCGAACAGCTTCTTGGTTTTTAACATCATATAGTTGTTGAATATGGCTGTTACTGATTTGACTTCATTGAAATGTATTAAATAGCACACGTTTATGTATGGGGCCTTGAGGGAGGCAAACACTGTACATCTCTCGGCCTTGCATTACCCACTCATGAGTATCGAGTAAATACTCTGCGCAGGATGCATAACTATGTTGGTGCAATGCCTTTGAAAAGACCTCATCCTTCATTGCTATGCACAGCTGCAACCACCGCTGCACGGTACCGGGGGCGGCTCAGCAGCGGTTGCAGGAACGAGTCGTGAGAGTCGGAGAAGAGACGGGCACAGAGTACATCGAGTGAAAAGCCTTTTCATTTATGCCGATAATATTGCAGTCAAAAACACCAGAAATTAATCACACGCTTCTGTCAAAAGTGGAGGATTTTTATAACAATGCATGTGAAACTATTTTGCACGAGTGTTTCCTACCTATTTCCTCAAATCTGTAATAAATTTTTGTTCAATATCATTTTCCATCATCACCATTGCCCGCCACCCACTCCCCACCCATATTTTTTTTCGCTCCACCGACAGCAACTGCTGTTTACAGCGGGGATTTGTTTGTTGCCACGCACATGAAAACAAAACCGCATCGGAACTGAAGGTCAACACTGGATACCTACAAAACCAAATTAAAAACAACCATTTGGAGTTGTCAAAACTCAAGCAGTAAATGGAAAAAACATTACAATTACATGACCATATTGTATGAGTTAAAGAAGCCCCCTTCAACTATAGCTCCTGGGAGGTCGCACGCTCTGCTCTGCTGTCCCCACCATAATCTGGAACTCCCTTCAGCCATCCGTGCTCTTGACCCCCTGGCCCGACTAGCACGGTGAGCTTAAATAGGGGCCATCCATTTAGTAGGTACGCAAAAATCTGTCAAGACTTCAGATGCAGTTGCATTTAGACGACCACATAAATCAACATAGCATTGTTGTTGTTGTGCATTGGACTTACTACTAATGTGGGGTAAAGTGATTAGTGGCTGTAAAGCTGCTCTTTAAAGGGCAGGGATATGTGTATTGTTTGGATGTCCAAGCTCCGTGTCTTTAACTTCATGCCGACATCGTAAATGTGCAAACCTGCTGAGGGCACTCACGAATAATCAGGCAAGGGTGCTCACTCCAGGCCAAGTCGGCCTGGCCAGATGCCCTCACTGAGAAAGCAGTGAAGCTGTGGCAGATGAAAGACATTGCAGCACAGTGGCCTCGAGACTTGAGACTGACTGGTTGTCTCCCTAGCAGAGAGCTTGAGCTCACGACGCAGCGTGGGATTGAAGCGTCCAGAGACGGGAGGGAGGGAGAGAGCGGCGAGGCAAAAAGAGACAGCGACTGACAGACGCAGGAAAAGAGCAGCTGACTACAATGGATACGGGTCCCTCTTGTGCACATCAGGTGGAGCGGTGGCGCAGCGGTTAGCGCACTGCGCTCTAATCCCGGTGACCAGAATTGGATTCCCAGCCACGGATAACATTAATGGCGAGTGATATTTTTCCCCCGCCCCTCACCAATCCTCCACTGACCAGCACGGTGAAGTACGATCAAGAAACCTTCATGACCAAAGCGGCGTGTGGAAGCCTTCATCCATCGGTGGATCCATCATTATTTAATTATTTATATTCTGCAAATCGCCCTGATTCTCCCTGCGTTGAGTAATCCCCCTCTCACAAAAAGCCAACTACGTGTTTAGTTTGTCTGCTTCTGATCGGCGCGACATCCCGTGGGGTAGCGTGCGCGTGCGTGCCGGGCCCACCTGCAGGATGGCCTGCATGTCGTGTTTGATGCGGCCCAGGTCCTGCAGTAGATCCCCCGCCCTCTTCACCGCTGGGCAGCCCTGCTCGTCGCGCCCTCCGCCTGCTCCCGGAGACCTGGGGGGGATTGACATGGAAAGGAAAACGCGTCGCGTTCAAAATCTCGGAGGAGAGCACACCCGAGCGTTGGCGGCGCGCGCGTTGCTGTCGGGTGTGAGATCGAGCGGGAGGCCGCCGTGGACCAGCGCGAGCGGCGTCTTCCCGATGGCGCTTAAGGTCCAGCCCAGGAGGCCCCGCGGGGTCATTTTCACACCATTGTATTTTTAGATGATGCACAATGGCCTCTAGGTGGGCGAATACGTGACCACTATAAGAGTGTGTGGGAATAAAACAAAAGACCCTTTCGAACACTCGGGTCAGGATGAGGCCCGTCCAAGCCTCATGGGTATATTGTTTTTTATCACATGCACACAACCATCCCACACATTGTAAAAATATATTGAGGTCAGTAGATAGAGTGACACTATGTGAAGTTTACATAGCCGTGTCCCATGGCAAATATTAAAAGACACTTAAAACAAGTCATTTCAAAACCATTCTAAGTCACATGGGCCATAAAAGCGTTGCAGCATAATATTTTGAAAACCCTCCCTTCGATTCGCTGTTTGAACCTGTCTCTTGTTCTGGAAGCTTTTCTTGAAGTCTTTTTTAAGCATTAAATATATGTTAAGCTTCTTTAAAAAAAATTACCAATGGGATAAAAGTACTGTACAGAAAGCTCTGCATATTATATTTCAAGTAGCTTGGAACCTGCCAAGTCAGACTGGCATGCTGTTTTATTCTAATTGTAGCCTGTGGGAACGGGCCAGACAGCCAGCGTAGTGGAATTTGCCACACAGCAGTCTCTCTCATTAAAAGCAAGAGGAGAGCGAGTGGGGGGGGAGAAACTGCATGGATTTGTGGCAGCACTTCAAAAGAGTGCTGCGCATGGAATGCATGAGCCAGCAAGCCCAGTAAGCATTCCAGCCATAACACGAGTGCCTTGTGCTTGCGTGCACATACGTGTGCACGTGTTCCGCGGAGGGCCCACGTGCGAGCGTCGAACGGTGGGGGGCATGATTCCCGCCCGGACGCACCACGCTGCATGCGAGCGCCCGCTCGCCAGGCCCCAAGCGGCGGCGCGCCGCACATACGCAATCGCGGAGCGCGAGATCGCCGAACGATCGTCAGATGTCACTCCCGCACGATTAGAACACGTGCGCTCGCATTGACGTGCGCTCCACGCGCATGCAGCTGCCTTCATTTGCATCCGACTGTAGCTCAAAGACGGCCCTTAATTAGCTCCGCGGTCCAGTGGCCAATTTATTCGCGAAAGGTGTATTCACGAAAAGGGGGCCTCATTTTTTGCGAAGGACCCTTTGTACTTTTTCTCTGCCGAGCAGATGAAAATTCACACTTACATATAATATGCACGTGCGTATCTTTCATCGTGATATTTGTCTCGTGTTTTTGCAGGCACAGAGCCGTGGAGCCAAACACGCTTAAGGGGGGCTCCTCGAGGTGCGTGGCCAGCGCAAGATGCAGCTGGATTTTTAGATGAAACTGCCCTTGCTGTAACAGCCGCATTCGTGCAACAACCCAGGGGTTGAGCTAAACCACGCGACAGAGACAATCAGCCATGGCTAATCGTTTCCTATCGAAGCCATATTGCTTGGCAGGAAAAAATGAGATGTTTAGAAGGACAATTAACCAACTCCAGAAAAGCGAACAGTTTACCAAACATTGTTTCGTCTCATCACTTTCGTGCTGCCATGGCGTAATGGTTAGCACACTGACCTGCAATCAACAGGTCACCGGTTCGATCTCCCACCGGATGGCAATTTAAAACTCGGGTAAGTTTCTTAAATTCCCCCCCCCATCCTTGTCCACCCAGCAGCATAAATGGGTACACCAGTCAGTCGATTGGCAGGACGTGTGTGTGTGTGTGTGGTGGGGTAGAATGTGGGTATTTCCACTTCTGCTAACATGTCTGTCCAGCATGGAAGAATAGGTCAATAAAGACCCTCTAGAGGAGCTCTCCAGTGGAGATGCTTATTCCAGCAATGATCTGAGCTGGAAATTTCAGGGTTCCACCCTTCCCTTTTTTTATCATGGCTCAAGAAAACACCGTCCAGGCACCCATCTCAATGTTGGCATTCATAGGCACCCACATACAAACCTGTAGACTTTAAACACTGTACTCCACACGTCTGTTACAAACGCATACGTTTTAAATACATTATTTTAAGTAAACGTTGTTTCAGGCGTTTTAGACGACTGCACACATTTTGCTGAAGGAGTGGGATGAAGACCGGCACAATTACAACAGAAACTGTAGCTACTTACAGTCTCAAGTGTAATCGCAAAGATATCCAAGATGGTAGCTGAGCCCAAAGCGAGCAGGCCAAGATGCAAAGTCTGAGTCATTTCGGTTCAAGGCATCACCTGCTGCTTCAAAGCTCCCTTCGTGATCATCGCGATCGGGGTAGAGGTCACTCGAACCCTCACGGCGCAGCGGCCTCCAAGAAAAGCCAAGAGGAAGGAAGATATTTCACTACCCGTCTGGGCATAATAAATCACCAATTCTCACAGACTTCCGCTGAGGATAAAAAAAAATACAAATCCCCACGGCTACAGCGTGCACAATTCCATTCAATTTCCTTTGTTAGGCTCGACAATTGAAACTGACCGTTCAGCATAATCGATTATAGTGATGGTGGGTGAGTGCATGTTGATGATCATGGAACAAGAAGAGGTCACCGAATCTTGTGCCATGCATCGGATTGCTGTTCACATCGGTTCGTGAGGAAAATAACGAAAGTGTCCTCACATGCCATGTGAGGACAATCGCGTTTTCATAGAAGGTAACTGTAATTGTACATTTTCTAAAATATGCTCAACGGTTCTCCCTGGAAAACCACAGCGTCTTGCATAACCACATGCAGCATGTGCCAAACACAATGCTGCATGTGGGGGTGTAACTTCCTTCCGTTGCACCACCATTTTCTCAGATGTCTCCAGGAAATTGCACATACCACTCTCAGACGGTCACATTTGGGTCCGTGTGGGTGTGTTTTGCGGTGCGTCCGTGTTCTTGCGCTTCTTTGGAAAAAAAATGTTTCTCCACGAACCCCCATCACCCCACCACCTCCAGCGGCCACGTCACCGATCGATGAAAGAGAGCAGCTGGAATGACTCAAAGCGAGAGAACGGACAATCGACCCCACCGCACACGCTCGCCCGTCACGACTTCCACAGCTCGCCCCCCACCGTCCTCCCGCGCCCCTTTCCTTTTGTGCCGCTGCGCGCGAGCTCGCACTTCACATTTCTATGCGTTTGCTTCATTTATTGATCGTGACCACAATCTTTGTGCATTAGCTCATGGGTTCAATAAACCCTGGCAGGGTCACCTGGTTATGAGTCACTCTGGGAGGACCGAGCCACCCCATCGTTCCGACTTCGATTGTTGCCGAGACAGAGGCTTCTTCTGTGTTTCCGTTAATTTTTCCCGTCTCGTTACACAATTATGATATTGGACACAGTCCTTGGATGCAGAATGAGCCATCTGGGCCACGCAGCTGTTGTCTGAAAGGCTCAAAAAAATAACCGCACATGAGAAAACTTTAAACAGCCATCACAGAAATTGCACAAACGCATTAATAGGGGAGCCTAAAAGCACACGCATGCACGCACGTACAGAATTGCACGACATTATTTTTCAATCCCACAAACTCACATACGCGCGTCGTGCATAAGCCCACCCACCGACAAGTACACACATCCACACACTTCACACTCACGCACCCACAGGCACACACACACACACTCCCACTCAAACAAACAGGACAGGCACGTTCGCGCTGGATCACTCCTGTGTGCGTGTGCCGGCACACGCTGCTGCACACTCTGCCACGCATGCAGACACGCACACGGACACGCGATCCCTACAGTGCATGATGGGTTTGTTATCGGCGAGTGGGAATGTAAAGCAAACATATGTGGCACGCCTGGGAGCAAAAAGTAAGACCACTTATTTTTGTCCTTCCAGAACACACTGCGCTAACCAATTTAACAAAGATGCTTACATAAGGATTTACAAAATGAGTTCCACTGTCGTAAACATAAACACATGCTGCTCTTCCTACAGGGACTACACAACAGACAAGAGCAATATAACATGCAAACTGGTGACCCATATTATTGTCTAATGAAATAATATACGTTTTAGTCTTCTCCCTCGCTTGTTGTAAAATGTGATTTATTACAGAGAGCGGCATTGTAAAAATCCGGGTACGGCCGTATCCGAGCATCGCTCGTATCGTCGAACAAAACCGAGCGATGGCATTTGCACGCAAATCACGTCCGCGCGCAAATGCTAAATGACGATGGTTTTGCTTTGGGGGTTGCTCCGCGGCAAACGCACGCGAGATCGATCGCGTCGCACCAGGCTGGCTGGCGGGTGGGCGAGCGGGCGGACGAGCGGGCCGGCGGACGAGCGGGGGGCGGACGAGCGGGCGAGCGGCTTCTATTGCAACAGCTGCAACAGGACCCCTCTCTTTACACCGCCCGTGCCGGCGCCATGGCCAGCCGACACCCGTTATCTCCCCCCCCCCCTTCACTCCTCTCGGTGGACATCGGCCGCGTGGATTTCAAATCAAACGCCCTCCTCCTCCTCGCGCTCGCCGCGGGGGCAGGCCGTCACGGCAGCAGCGGCATGGGCACTCAGTCCAGACGCGCCTCGCACCAGAAGGCACCAGCTGGATGCAGCAGGAATCCGGCATGCGTGGGGTGACAGAGCCAGCAAAGCGGAGGCTCTGTGTAATGAAATTTCACTCCGTTTCGGAGAGGCTGCCAATACTTGGCAGTCGCCCTGTAATCGAGCCATCTTAGAAGAACGAAATCTGCATGGGATGGCTTTCTTTTTAGTTTCGCTTATTTCTCCGTTCCCTCTCGAAATGTTACCTTAAATGTGCTCGAACTCTTGCCATGCTGCAGGAAATCTCTTCTGCGCTTGCAATATCTATCTTCCCAGACAGGAAGCCAACTTGGAAAGCCAAAAGGCATTTTAAGTAATCCCT